ACTCTCAGATGAGATTAAAACAGGTCCTCTGACAACTTGAGGTCATTAAAGATCTCATAGTATTTTCCCACAGATTTAATATTCAAAGGATTTTGGCTTAATTCCAACTGTGGGTAATTACATTCTGCCCTACAAAAATGCCCCCAAGGTGAAAAAAAGCCACTTTTCATTTTCTCTCCTAAACTACTGCACTATGTTGTTTATGTTGGAAAGCATGCACTGAGTCCCACCATGTGCGTGAGAATTACACATTTTCCGCATGACTCATGAACAATGAAGCTACGAGACCACCCCAAACTGATGCCATTAAAATCCTCCTTCTACCCCATCATTTATTCTGTATGTTATTTCTATTATGATAGTGCCAAGGAGCCCTAGCCATGAACCAGGACCCACAGTGGTAGGTGCTGTATGATGTGTTTTACAGAAATATTTTAGGCAGTATACAAAATTATTGGTTTACTCTACGTGTAAAATCAGAATTCTTTAATTACTGTGTGTCCAGCTATACAAGCCTTGAAGTGAAAGTAAAAAACGAAGTTTTTAGAAAATAACTTTTCCTTATATAAAGACTAATATGTCAGTCTAACAGGGCTTCCAACGTGCATCTTGTATTGCTGGCATTCTATATGGCAGCTGTCAAGTATGGTTTAAATCTCTTTTTTTGTAGTCTTGATGCATCACAAGCAATCAGCTCTTACCCACTGTTGGTACAGGACTGAGGAGTGTCCCATCTTGGGCCATGGTGCAAATACTGCTCTAGCAAGTAAAATGGTATGTATCTTATAATGATGGTGAGCTAAAAAACAAATAAAAATCTGAAGTTACCTACATGCACGGAATGTTAGAGGTAATCCTGGCAGAGAGAAACTAATTGGCAAAGTACAGATGAGAATTATTCCCACAACTATAAACACTTGGGATGGGGAACTGGGGGTGTAAGTTTCACCTTCATCTGGATCTACAGTACTGTGACTGATACCCCTATAAATAGAGGACAATTGATCTTTACCCATATGGGGATACTTTGATGTGGGTTTAGAGGATCAAGACCCTTTTTGAATTCCAATAACCATATGGGTATAAGAAAATATACCAAGTGACTCCCTCGCTTTCCAGTTCATCATGTTTTCTATGTCTGTCATTGAGGCTATGATCCTCCAAAGATTTATGCATTGGAGTGACCCCATTAACTACTTACATGCCTGAAGTTAAATGAGTCTTCGCAGGATCATGGCCTTAGATTGTAAACATTCCAAGCAAACGTTGCCTTATGGTGTTTTCGGTGGTCAAGTACAAAGTGGCTCCTCCTCATAAAAATATGTATAATATAAAAAAAATACACACAATTCCAAAACTGTATAGTAAATAAAACTTTATTTCATCTCAGCTCCTGCCAGATTAGCATTGCCAGTCACAGATCAGCATATGATACAGTTATGTATTAATTATTTACAATTTACAGTAGTGTATTTCTTCTCCAGAAAATATAAGTACAAAAGCTAAGAGTAAATAAATGAGGTACTAAAATTTGGATTTATTGTAAGCAAAAGCTTAAAGAAATAGCCTTTAGCAAACAATCAAAAGATCAAATTGGAAGAAAATATTCAAACAAATTGCCTAATTCACCAGGAATCACCCACTAACTGCTACCCACCCAAAAATGTATTGCACAATTCATTCAGTCAAGAAATCAAAAATAAATAGAAGATACAAACCGTTAAGTTCAACTCTTAAAAACACCCAGTGAAACCTGTACTGAGATACAAGAGTGGGGCAAAGTCTTTCTAGGTTACAGTCTTTTTTCTCCCCTTTAAAAAAATAACCTTTAACACAAAATAGAAGACAGTATTCAATATGAGGAGAAAAAAGACTCCTCACCAGATAACCACTGATTAGCATCTCTTCTCAAGGCAGTTTTAACTATATTCACGGTCCAAAGTGTGTGTTGATTTTTTCTGTCCTGCTGCTCCATCTGGGACCCTGAATAATAGTTTTTCCTCTTGTCCATTCTCAACGGAGAACGGAGATATGAATGTATTTCTAAGCAGCATTGTCATAAGACCTTACTATCACAATTTCTTCAAGATGGTCGTAGCCATGACTAGGGAGGAAAAAAAAAAGGCCAGTAAATGAATGTTACATTGTGAAGAGAAAATTACAAGCACTTTTAGTATTTAAATAAATCAATCAGGAGAGCAATTGAATCTGATTGCTGGAGAAAAGCAATAGGAGACAGAAAGAACTTGGACTTGAGGTCAGGCTGAATGACTTGACTTATTCTGTGATCTTGGGCAAGTAATTCAATTTCTATATTTTTCAGACAACACAACTGAAGCTGAGTAAAAGAGTAAGATCTCACTGGAAACTACATACTGCATCTGAGCATCGTGCCTAGTTAAGTAAAATACAAAACTGAATTTTAGAATGAGACAAAATGTTATTCCCCCTTCTTTCCTATCAAGGCATCTAGTTAAAATGACAGGAAAGTAACAATACCCCAACTCAAAACAATTCCTGCCTTGGCCAATCATGGACATAAATCCCTTGTACCTAATCAAGAAGTGTATACCTCACATTTGCAATACAGTCAGCATCAGCTTGATCATAAGTTGCTTAGAGGCAAGAATGTCATATTTGAGGTCAATAAACTGCCATAATCCACTAAAGCTTTGAAAAACTAGGACAGCACAATTTACTCTTGCAATGAGATTTTACTAGATTATACAAGATTTACATGCACAGGCCTCATTTACGTTAGTAAAATGACCTGTTGCTGACACCATGGTCAGCGTCAAGCCCCTTCTTTGCTCCTCCGAAATGATGCTGAAAACTGTTTTACTGATAGAAAGGACAAAACCTTTTTTCAATAGGGCCACAGAAAGAGTAACAGGGATTACATCTCAATCATACTTTCTATAATGGTGTTGAAAGTAGTTTCACCTTGTCGATACTGACCCTTCAACCATTTTCAGCCATGGCAAAGGAAAAGTCTGTTGACGCTAATATCCCAGAAAAGTAAGGACCAGAGGACAGACAGACATTTCAGATATTGGGCTTAGAATGCAACATATAAGAGAGTATGAAATACGGATAAGAGAAGAAACTTTAAGGACTGGTAGAGAGGAATAGATTTCCCTCTTTATAGAACTCAGATATATTTTGCATCCAAGTTTTGTCTGGTTTTAGTTTTAAGGGAGAAAAAAAATTAAGGCAAGCTCAACATGTCCCACAGAATTTGTTTTGAAATATTATACATTTTCAATCAGAGTGCTAATCACATTAGATTATGTAGAATGTTGTGACTATTTACTTCCATGTCCTATTACTGTGGATCATTATTGTTTTAATTTTTACCTTGAGTGGTCTGATGCAGCCTTTTCATTGTAAGCCAACCCAGCCACTTGGTCTCTAACACTAGAGTTATTTGTGCACAGGTTCATTAATGAAGCCAAACTAATTTGTAACAAATTGTGTAATAACAAATATTGTGATGTCCCCAATCAAAAAGGTCTTTCCTCCCCATCTCTGCTTTGTCATCTTGTTACTACCAACCCATGACCCTGAACCAGCAAAATATTAAAGCATGTGCTGAACTTTAAGTAGGTTTGAAGTCCAATTTGAAGCCAACTTGAAGTTAAGCACTTGCATAAGTGCCTTACTGGATCAGGGCCCATGTATGCAATATTTCATTTTAAGTATTTTATTAAATTAGGATCCCTTTTGATTTTTATATGGCATTAGGATCCATTTTAAGCATGAAAGTAAGTGAGCATATTCCAGTAATTTGACTTACCTATTTGCTTATTCAAATAAGAAGCACAAATAGAATAAAGCCAAGTTAAATATATTTTGTATTACAGGCTATTTGATTAAGAATCTTTTTCTACTCCCTTTTGACATATCTGAGGTTTGTACAGCTCTGAATCAGTATTTGAAAAGATGCAAACTGTCCTCAGATCAGAAAATAAATTAATCTTGAAACTGAGGCTTACTTCTTACAAACTTAGCTTTGTAAAGCAAAATAAGATAAACAGTTAGTTTAGGGGTATATTACAAGCTTGTCTTGCAAAGAGCATTCAGTAATTATGAACAAAACCAGGGAGGAGAGAAAGAAAAATCTAGCAGAAGGATAATGAAGTGCATGCTATAGATTTGACCTTCAAATAAAACACAATACACATATTAGGCTTCACTCACCCACATGCTAACTAAGCACAGACTGATGGAATATTCAGAAGATACCACTGCGAGGTGAGGTAAACTACAAAGCCAGGAAGAAAACACCTTATTGGAATATTTTATTAATAGCACAAATTTGAGCTCAGTGGACATCGTGTGCTTATATATGAGGCTGAGAGGATTAGACAGAAACAACACTCTGAAGTAAATACTAATATACCAAGGTCAATATCCCAAATCAATTTTATCTGTGATTTGTTTTTAAACTTTCAAGAGAGACTTAGATATATGCCCATTGTATAGGTAAGGGAAAGATTGGGCACTAAAATGGTAAATAAAACTGACAAGTATCCTTAATTTACTACAATGTAAATGTGTTTTATTTCAGTAGCAAAACAAGTTGACAATTTATACTTTTATAATCTGTAAATATTTCAGGCAAAAGTTAATAGGAATATCAGATTGTTCCTTATCAGACTAATCAACGCATTCCTGACTTGTTTAAAAAATATATATAAATGTATGCTTTAATTTAGACAATTTATACCACTAGAAAGGAAATGTAAGTGTTTAATAAATGTTTTTCAAATACCACCATCACTCTATTATGAAATACGGAGAAGTCCTACATCAACTGATTATTAATATAATATGCTTGGATAATTTAGTCTAATCCCAGCAGCCTAAATCTGTTCATCTCTTACACACAAGTACATCAAAAAGTTTAGTAAACATCTAAATAGGTGCTACTCCAGGCAGAGTAATAAGCTAATAAAAAGAACAACAAACTGGTTAGAAATGTTTAATTTTGAAGGCTTGGGAGATGGTTAAAAAGGTAATGGTTATTTCTTTTAATATCTGATTAAATTACCTTTGAAGACAAGCATGTTGCTAATCATTTCAGAGAACAGAGTGCAGATACTTTCAGTGCAAGGACTGCTTAGCTGGGACAGGAAGTTACACTCTTTTTGTTTTACGAGTTTAAATAAATATTTGGAGATTGGGATGGACTGGCCAAGAGCCTGGACTGGAATAGAATACTTATCAATACCAATGTTGCTTTTACAGTATAGTTTCCTTCAAACAAAATACCTTCAACAAAAAACTATAATTTTGCTTGTTGTGTTCAACTCTATGTTAACAGTAACTGAAGATTTTTTTAAAGTTTGCTTCAAAGAGATCAATGTGTTTGTGTGGTTTTGTAAAGTGAAACATACAACTACCTAAAATAATAATCTTATCTGCCTCTAAAATGATCAGAGATAGCCAAGACCAGTAGGGAGGGAAGGAGAGAAGAAACAAGACCAATAGGGGAAGTACAAGCTACAATAAACTCTTAACTATTTATTTTACTGGCCCACAAAAATATGAATAATCCTACTGAGTTCAGATATTGTGTTTCACAGCCTTTCAATTAATAAAATGCCTTTTACACTTATAAAATAATAATCGTGCAAAGAGTGCTTTTTCTGATTAGCACTGTATCTTGCTTCCCTGAGAGCATAAAGTACTCTGCTCGTGGTCTTGCATTTCATCTACTTGGAAATCTTTTTGTAAAGCAAAGCACCCCTCAATTCCTTAAATAACTGAAAATCTAGCCCTGAGGAACTATTAAAGAAACTAGTATAGTATGAGTTCCTTTCTGTCCCTCCCAAAATCTAGACTTCTCTATGCTCACATGACATATCCAATATTGGGAGAGCAGAGCAGGCTTTCAATATTTGTTGTCAATTTAAAAAAGGCATTCTACTCTACATCAAGGATGCAGCTATACTGGCTATATTCAGCACTCTTCCCCTCTGTTGTTCTAGGGGAAAGCTCTATCAGCAGAACTGCTATTGTACACACTAAGCAAAGCCAAGTAGGCACAGGAGTTGTTACCGTTTTTGCTTTTAGTAAGGATAGATGGCACAGTGGCAAAAATGCCTGCACATTGGCTACAGTGCTCCCATTGTCAATACCACCAGTGGAACTGCTCCAGTACTAGACCAATGGTGGGACATATTAGTGGAGACAAAGCCCTTACTTTTTTCTTTTGTCATAAACTCAAGCCTACTTCTACAATGGGAAATTCTCCTGAGGAAGGGAGGGACGTTAAACAACCAAGTTTCACCCACCTATGTCTAGCAGCCCATGTTCATATATCCAGTCTACTTATAAGGCTTACCAATGGTCGAGTGTCTTCTCGTTCTAAGATCTTCTGCGTTTGGTCGGCTGGGAACTTCAGCACTGTGGTTATAACCTTTGCCATTGTCTAAAGAAAAAAAGTTAATGGTCTGTAAGTAACTTAACACGCATAAGAAAAGATTAAACTGCTGTTTAACAGTTACAAATGTATTCATTTATCAAAGTTCTGTATGTTTTTAGTAATGTCAATGGAAGCCATTGCAAAAAAAGTCAGACATGCACATTAGTTTCACATCTCATTTGCTTGACAGATGGCATGTTATGTGAATTTTATGGAAGATTCTTCAGTTTATATTATCACAAACTGCAATATAAGCTCTATAGTTAGCACAAAGCTCAAACACATTAACCTCTTTCATAAAATGGCGCTACTGACTACTGTTGCAAAAGATTCAACCCTTCCTGAGATTTCTTCCTATAAACAATCTAATCTGTATGTCACTACAAGATACATTTTTTTAGTCACATGAAATAATGCTCTACAGCTCAACTGCATTCACATCAGCCTGACATCTTGTAAAACACATCCAGACAAATAAGCTACTGCACTAGCAGGTTCCAAGATTAACAGCAGAACTTCATTTGTGGAAACATTATTGGCAGGTGTGTAGTATGCTGCACTGATACAGCAAAGTGCTCTGACATCCTCTTATGAAAGGAGTCATAAGTAGAAAGCATTATTATTAATGTTAATTTAACCTATAACGATATCTGTATGAGGTAGGTAAGAATTACCTCTATTTTGTATGTGGAAAACAAAACAGAAAAGGTCATATCAATAGTTACACATTAGGTGGCAGAGCCAGGATTACAACTCTCATTTGAGTATCAGAGGGGTAGCCGTGTTAGTCTGAATCTGTAAAAAGCAACAGAGGGTCCTGTGGCACCTTTAAGACTAACATGCTCCCAATACTTCTGTTAGTCTTAAAGGTGCCACAGGACCCTCTGTAACTCTCATTTGAATGTTTTAGCCACCAACATGCTCCCACCTGAAACAGGACCAACGCTTCCATTTTCATTTTGGTCAGCAACAATAGAAGGTAAGGGGGAAGAAGGTGCAGTAACATGGATGAATATAGGTGGTCAGGTGGTTGCGCAGGAAATCTCAGGTGCTTTCCCACATGCTGCAACAGCTGTAGGTACAGCTCTAACAGAATGTGCTATAAGAGTCATACTTGCAGCTCTCACACAATGCAGTGGTGACAAGATTGCTGCCCATCTACTGCTATTGTTTCCCACCAGCTCCACACAGATCACTGAGTGAAGAGGTGACAGCAGGAACAATAAGGAAGCAACTGGAGGACAGAATTGACCACAACCATTATAAAGATGAAAGGGTAGTCCAGATTAATTCATCTCATGTATATTTAGATATAGCTTCTACCTGGCTATAAAGCTGAAAGAATTCCCCTTGCTAACTGTTCTGTTCAATCAGCTTAATTTAAGATATTTACTGTTCATGATTCAAACTCAGAGGTTCTCAAACTTCATTGCACCACAACCCCCTTCTGACAACAAAAATTACTACACGACCCCACAAGGGGGGACCGAAGCCTGAGCCCACCCAGCCCCGCCACCCTGGGCAGAGGGTCCAAAGCCCGAGCTACACTGCCCTGGGTGGGGCCCAAAGCTGAAGCCCAAGAGCTTCAGCCCCAGGGGAAGAGCTTGTAACCTGAGCCCTGCCACTCACGGCTGAAGCCCTTGGGCTTTGGCCCTGGGCAGTGGGGCTTGGGCTTCAGCTTTGGCTCAGGCCCCAGTAAGTCTAATGCCAGTCTTGGCGACCCCATTAAAATAGGGTTGTGGCCCACTTTGGGGTCCCAACTCAGTTTGAGAACTGCTGAAAGATATTGAGGAACATCTCTGATAACACAAATCAGCACCAAACTTTTCTAATTTCTCTTGTCAAACCCCTCATTCACCACCTAGGACTGAAAGATCACAAAGCAATGAACTCGGAACGTACACCCACACTTACAGGACAGCTACCTCTGAAGCCCTCACTATTAATTTCAACAGGACACAATGGTATGCACAAGTAAGTTAAAAAAATATACATGCATTGCAAATACATATATGTATTTTCATGTAGTATGTGCCAACTCAAACAAACATTCTTAAAACCTTCTTTCTTGAAAATGTATGTTTTGTAATTTATCACTAGCATTGCCTTGAAATTCTTCAAGTTCTTGCAGTCACAAGGGAGATTTAGAAATAAAATTATTTCAGGTCCAAATGATTGCAAATAACGTGAATGAAACTTACAAGCATTTTGGAATTTAAGACTATATGCTTTACAAAGTGTTTACCTGATTATGCCTTTATTATCTTGATTATATTTTTCTAGAAAAATCCAGGTGAAGCATAATAATAATCCCTATCTTTCATATACTCACATACACAGTAATAAGTTCTAATAAAAGAGCTGATTGTTTACATTCCTACTTACTGCCAATTCTTTCAAGGAGTATAGATATTTCTTAAAGATATCAAGGCACTCTATAATTTGAACAATATTGCTGCTCACAAGCAGAACCCACAAATTTCACCGCAAAGCTGCATATAACTGTCCCATGCTGTCACACAATTCACTATTTGTTACTACATGATTCAGTATGATTGCCAAGGCTATCCACCTCCCATGCTTAAGTGTACAAGCCAGTAACAGCGAAAAATATGTCTAGGTTCCCTGAGAGCTCTGCATATATTTAACTAATTCAGAAATATAGGCTGGAAATCAACAAAATCTGGAATCATTATGACAGACCACCCTTCCATTTCAATATTTGCAAAGCAGCCTATGTAACCAACACATGAACTGCACACATCCGAGGCAGACAAACAACACACAGATTGGCAATTTGACTCTAGAACAGACTCCAAATTGTATAA